ACCCCTTGCAGAAAACACACCAGTATTTTAAGATCTGCTACCTTCTGAAGCTGATCTCTGTGAATGTACGCAAATACCTCTGCCTCATCCTTTGTTTCCAGCACCACAGGTAAAACTGAACCAACACACACACTGAGTCACCCCTGAGTACTTCACATCATGGATCAGCAGATTTACTTCAGAATAAATGTGAAATCTGTGGAAGTGTTCTACATGTTGCTATTCTCACCAGCTCTCTGTGACAAGGCATGGAGCAGGATTGTGTCGAAGGAAAGAGAGATAAGGCAGTGAAGATGTGAAGAGAATATTTTACAGATCAGAAATATTTTTATACATTGTCCCAGTGCATCTGTGAATTAACAAGCCATATTAAAAATCAATTGGTGGAAGACTAGGGAGATGGAAGTGTCACTCACAAAGAAAGAGTGCAGGCAACAGAAGATGACTATGGGCCTGGGGACTCATGCTAAGGTTCAATGCCATAGTTTACTCTTACTATGTGTCTCCTCTGACTTATTAGGACCCAGAGATTTCCTTAAATGCTTATTAAAGAAGAGTGATGATTCCAAGAATCAGGCAACATTAAGGACCATGCAGAAAAAGGACATAAGAAGCCAGTGACTGCAGAAGCGAGCCTAAGGGAAGCCTGCTGAGATTCGAAAGAAAAACTGTTATTTCTCATTTAGATGCTGCTCAAGGCAGGTTTATGAATTAGACCAAAACATCTGTCCATTAGCTTCACTGTAATTTAGCCAAACAGAATAATGTTTACTGATAAACATGAGTGCTGTACTTGTACTTCGCACTCTTCACAGGTTGGGTTGCTGTTGCATGTAGAAAGCGGAATTTGAGCTAAACCTTACCTTGCTGCCGTGAACACTTCTTATCCATTATCCCAGTCTCTGGGCCACGCCCAATTACCACTGCTTCCATGTGTGGCAGCTTCATTTTTCGACTGCATTTCTCTTTCCCCACAAGCCAGCACACACGCATCACTGTGGTATACAGCAAAACAAATGGTATGTTACTAACACACAGCTTCACAATGGGTTACCTTCCTCTGGAAACTGGGTCCAGGACATTCTGCTGTCAACCCATTCATTAGCTGAGACACTTCTGCTAACTGGGTTCATGTTTCTGACATTCAAGGCACAGCACAGCATTAAAACTAGTACAATGTAAGAGCAAGTTGCTGTTGAAAGGGCAACCCTATTTTCTTTCTTTCTGCATCAACATACATTGCCACATCCAGAGATCATTCATAGCAGAAATCAACTGGATTAACAGTTCTATCTGACAGAAAAGCTTACTCACAAAAAGTTGTTTCCCACTGAATCAGAGTTGACATGAGAGATTAATTTACCCACCAAAACAAAGAAAGCAGCAGAGAATGGAGGTGAGAGAGGGGACAGCTTCATCCCGCAAGTCTACAGACGGACTATGCTACAAAACGGGGCTCCCTCTGGACTGCAAAGACCGCACACCTTCCCCCTGCCTGGTGCCTGTTGCTAAGTGCTGCTCACTCCAACGGTGTGCTGAGTCTATGCCGCTAGAAAGCAACCCTCCGCCCTTAGTACCATACCCGCACCGTCATACATGCAAAAATGTGCGACGCGAGGTTAGGCCCCCCAGCTGCACCTCACGCTCACCGCGCACCCTGCCTCAGGGCGACGCCT